TTTTATTAATTGATTACTACAAAAACAAATATTTTTAATATAATTTAAAATATTATTAAATATAAATTCTACAAAATCCAGTTAAAATACCAATCCCCCCTCGTGGGATTTCAAAATTCTATGTTTAATATACTTTCATTTAGAATCACATTCAATCAAATCTTTTAGACCAAATGAGACCTAAGGGCTATTTGGTAAAATGGAATGGTTTTGAGTTATTTGGATTTTATGGAAGCTTTTGGAATTAGAGGAATTTGAATTTGTAAGGATTTGGAATCTCTGATGTGTTTGGTTTGTAGGATTTGGAATGGAATTGAATTTCATTCTTGATAAATAATTTGTAAAAACAAATTATAAATTACGTATAAATAACTTTTTTATTAATTGATTATTTTAAAACAAATGTTTTTAACATATTTTAAAACATTTGTACATACAAATCCTAGGAAATCCAGTAAAATACTAACCATCCATATGGGATGTTAAAGTCCTATGTTTGTGAAATTTTAATAAAATTTCTGGATTTCAAAATCCATGAAATCATTCAAATCAAATATATATATATATATATACTATATTATAAAACATTTGATAAAAACTCTTAAAAACCAATTTTTTATGTGTAAAGTACTGTTTATTAATGCATATTATTTAAAACTCAAGATTGCAAGTAGATTGTGCGTAAGTACAATTTATTAAAGCTCCATATATGAATTCGTGTAACTAACTGCAGATAAACATAATCAAATACATGATAAAAATCTCATTTTAAATATAAAAAATCTAAAATATAATTAGGATAATTATGGAGTTGTAACAGAATACTTAATTATTATCTTTATAAAATGTTATATTATTAAACCAAAAATAAATTATTTCGTTATTAAACTTAAATTAAATTATAATAAAAAATTTAAAGAAATTACATAAAAAATGAGAACTTTTAAATAGTTGATTTGATATTAACATTGATATTTTTTTTTTCAATTTTTATGATATCTTCAAATTTATATTTTATTAAAAATAAAATCATTATTGCTTTTCTAAAAACATATAAAATTGTATTATAATATCGACAGAGACAAATAATAAAATAGAATATTAAAATCGAGATGTGTCTCGCTGCATTATGCGAATATTCTTCTAATATATATTATACTCAATTGTTTTCTAGTATTATTCTAATTTAAAACCATACAAGTAAGTTATATACAAAATAATATAGCACCAAAAAGGTAAAAGATAACAAAAAATGTAAAAAAATCAAATAACATTCTACAAAAAATGTGCATATATCATGTGCATACCACAACGTTAACATTAAGGGTGAGCATAGGCGGGTACCCATCCTTTTTGACAGGAACCGAAACCGGCGGTTCTTGAGATATTGGAACCGGAACCGGAACCGGAACCGCCGGGAACCGGTTCCGGGTACCCGCTTCCTAAAATATTAAAATTTTGTTATTTAAAAATAAAAAATAAAACGTTGCCAAAACACAAAATAAATAAGCAAGAATACAAATTATATATAATAATGGTTACAAATATTGTTTAACGATTACAAACCATAATAGACTAATAGAAAATGTTCATGGTTTAACGATTACATACTATAATGGTAAATTTTCAAAGTTTAACGATTACTTACTATGAATCAAAGTGAACACACAATTTAAAAAAATACGAATCATTCTATATGAAGAATTTAGATGAAGAATGAAGATGACGGCGTGCTTTCAAGATGTAAACCTAATATAAATTTGGTATTAAAAAATAATAATAATTTTTATTTAAAAATACCGGGTACCCGGCGGGTAATGGTTCCGAAAAATTGAGAACCGGAACCATTCTCAATCGGTTCCGTATTTTAGGAACCGGAACCACTCATATCGATTCCGGTTCCGGAACCGACGGTTCCAAGGCGGTTCTGGTTTCACAGCCGGGTACCCGGTTTCGCTGCTCACCCCTAGTTAAAACAACATCAACGACGAGTATTGTGTCATGCCAACCACCTGATAGCTTTTTGCAACATTGTGTATTTATCTGATTGCATAAAAGTACAACGATTCAATCAACAACAAGATTTTTTATGGAGATTTAAGTGGCGTTTGTTTTTTTAAGATGTGCTAAGTCTGAAGTCTTATTTCACTTCTGATTAAGAGGTGGTGCTAAAGTTTGAAATCTGAATTAGTAAAACTGTTTGTTTTTTTGTAAATTGACAATTGACAATTGTCTGAAATCTTAATCAATAGTTTGTTTTTGTAAAACCAGGTGCAAATATTTTGCAAAATTCTCTTGAATTTCATAAAATTTCCATTGTCGCAATTCATCTCAACAATTGTTTAGCAGATGTAACACAGTAAGAACTTTTTGGATACTTTTCAAACTTTCAATGCTAACGAGAATGCCGCCAATTTGTTTGCAGAAAGATCGATACTTTTGATAGAGGATAAATCGTTGATAAAAGTTCTTCTTTCATATTAATCTTCTAAGCTAACATATACATACAAAAATTATATATATATATATATATATAGAGAAAGAGAGAGAGAGAGAGATAGAGAGAGAGAGAGAGAGAGAGACGGTGGGGGTGTGCATTTCACATGGGTGATGAAATGACAGTGTCATTTTTGATGGAGAAAGAAACAATAATCAAAGAGAATTAAAGAAAAGAGAAAACAAGAGAAATTAAGATAATAGTTTACCTTTTATTTATTCAAACCCTATTAAGCGATAAGAGACTCTAAAAATAAAATAAAAACAATCTGAATTACAAAACGTCTGAACAAATCAGATATAAGTGGTAATTAAGACCTGAAAATGAAAAAACAAACAAGGCCTTAACCTCACCAAAGTCAAAATTACGGATGTGCTATTTTATATACGGAAAAAGAACATCAAACGGAAATTTTGTAAACGACATAAGGATGATAAAGATCGCAAATCCTGCCAACTATATATGCGATTGCTGAAAGATTTAGCTTAGAGTTGTGAACAAAACCTATATCATAACGTCTCATGTGATTGAACCAGATAAAGTTCAAGATCACTCGTTTCCAACTTTTTTAAAAAATAATTTAATTTGATATATTAAAAAATTTAAACATTTTCCACACATCACTTCCTTTCGCATTTTAGCTTTATAAAAAGTGTTTCATTCACACAATGACAACTTACTTTGAATTATTTTTTTTTAATTTAAAAAATGCATTTTTTTACATAAAATAATATTATACTCTAAATTTTGTTATTTTATATTCAAATACATGGTTTAAAATGGACAATCAATTATAATAATATAGAAATTAATTAACTTAAAATATATTGGTATTATAATAATATATAGAAAATACAAAAAACGTTTATAATATATAGGGATGAGCAGCGAAATCGGGTACCTGTTTGCGGAACCAGAACCGTCGGTTTCGGAACTGGAACCAATATGAGTGGTTCCGGTTTCGATTCCTAAAATACGGAACCGATTGAGAACGGTTCCGGTTCTCAGTTTTTCGGAACCGTTACCCGCCGGGTACCCGGAACCGGCGGTTGTTTTTCAATAAAAAATAATTGATTTTTTTCAATACCAAATTTATATTAAGTTACATCTTCAAATGACGTGGACCACGCGGTCATCTTCATTCTTCATCTACTTTCTAGTTCTACTAAACTACAGTTCGTAGTATGTAATCGTTAAGTTTTGAACATTTACAATTATAGTATATAATCGTTAAACTTTGAACATTTTCTATTAGTCTATTATGTTTTGTAATCGTTAAAACAATATTTGTAATCATTATTCCGTATAATTTGTATTCTTGTTTATTTAATTTAGTGTTTTGGCAATATTTTATTTTTATTTCTAAATAACAAAATTTTAATATTTTAGGAAGCGGGTACCCGGAACCGGAACCGGTTCCCGGCGGTTCCGGTTCCGGTTCAAAAAATTCAAGAACCGCTCTAACCGGTTCCGGTTTCAATATCTCAAGAACCGCCGGTTCCGGTTCCTGTCAAAAAGGACGGGTACCCGCCTATGCTCACCCACAATAATATATATTAATTGTAATTTCAGCATCAAGTGCGTGTAAAATTAATTTTAAATTTGTTGTACAATTAAAAGAATGTTACAATTTCATACCAACCATTTTGTAAAGTAAATATTTTATTCAAATAAAGAAAGTCAGAAAGCGAAAAGTTGAAGGGGTGAAAATGAAACATTCCATACGTAAAAGATGCTTACGCGAATATTCCACTTTACCCCCCTATTAAATTTAAATCATTTTGAATAATTATTTTCTATATTAAAACATTATTAACGTAACAAATTACCAAACCAATCCTGAATTATTTCTTATTTTAGAAAATCAAAATTATTTTAGTTTTTTAGATGTTGTTTGTTTATCTCTTAATAGTTTCATTAAGAGACAACTTCTGAATCTTTAAGAGGTGAATTTTGTTTGACAGAAAAAAAATCCGTCTCTTAATAGTTCTAAAACCATTTGAATGATTTGTATCATAGGTCTCTCTTAACCATTCAACGCCCTAATTTCATTAAAGACAATTATCAAGCAATTATATTTTATTTTGCATTATATCATGAGAGTCTTTTAATTATTTTGTACCAAATAATTCAACAATTGCCAAACGGTCTCTTAAATTTAAATTTAATTTTTGAAATAAAAATTCCCCATTTTTTGAAATAAAAACGTATATAAAATTTATGGGATAAATCAATTTCCAACGTTGAGGAATTAAATAAAAATTATTATTTCTTATTTTAGAATTATGTAATTATTCAGTTTTATGGATGGTGCACCACTATTGCTTGTGTCAGCCACTTTTACAGAGCTGAAAATACTAAAGCCAGAAAAAGCATAATCTTTTAATGCGTAAGTTACAATATTTCACTGCAATATGAAATGGATTTAGTAATTATTGGTCTGTGAAAGAGATCATGTTGTCTCTCTTCATTCAAATCTCGTCTATTTATCATTTCGAGGTGGAAGCGGCATTTGCCACCCATAAAATCCGAGAGAGGTTCAGCACCAAAATCTCTCTTCAATTCCTTCTTCTCTCCTTTGATCTTCGTTTTTTGGCCAATCGCCGACGTCCTCCTCCGACACAAAAAGTCATGGGGACGACAATTCTTTCAGATCTCGGCACTGAAATCGTTATCCCAATTTGCGCACTTGTTGGAATTGTCTTCTCTCTCTTCCAATGGTATCTAGTCTCTCAAGTCAAGCTCTCTCTGGAGAAACCGGCCGCCGGCGACAAGAACGGGTTCACGGAAGCATTGATTGAGGAAGAGGAAGGAATCAACGACCACACCGTCGTTCAAAAATGCGCTGAAATTCAGACAGCTATTTCTGAAGGTAATAACATTATGTTAGTAATTTTAGTTAAAAAATTATCTCGAAATCGATATCTGCGATTTTGTGGTTATGATTTTTTATTCCGCAATTGGAATATTCCGTTCAGTTGTTTATATTATACTCGATTCGTTGCATTTTTTTGCTATTTGAGTTGTGTTGTTTTAATTTGCATAATTGCATTCCTTTTGATTTCTGATTGAAGCTTGTTTATTATGCTTACATATTATAATTACTTGAATTTTGTTGCAAGTAATGATGCAGTTTGGTGGGATTTTTTATTCAAATTGAGATCTACCTTTCCTTTATTAAACTACAATATATTTGCGGTGGTGGTGGATGAATCCATGGAAATACGATTTATTTTATATACACATGTAAGTAGAGTTCGATGCAAGTGTTCCCATGGTTGATGTTAAAATGGTGGTCGCCATGGTTAGGGACCTTCGACATTGATTAAATCTTGAGTAATGGGATCCCACCAAAGTCGGTGGCGGGGTTGTCGGTGGCTCATAGTTATAGGGTTTAAATGAATATTTGTTGTTATATACGAGCGGGGTCTTTGAATTTATGCAATTTTAATGATTCAAATGCGATGTTGTTTATAGATCTGGTATATTTGCGAATAGAAAAATGGATGTACCAGGAGTTCGTACCGACAGTTTTATTCTTCATGTGTGGTTAGAGAAGAAAGCAATAGTTACCCAAATTGTGGGTAAAGGTTGTCTCATGGTACACTGAATAACAGTTTGACATGACTTTTATATCGGTATTCGAGATTGTTTATAAAAATAACTTATTGACTTATTTCGATGTGGTATCGGTAATAAGCATTTTTGAATGCTTGGATAAATAACTTATACCGGTGCCAAACCGGTAATAAAGAGTTTTTAAAGAAGTTAAATTCTTATGACTTATAATAAGTTGATAAGTGCTTTTGTAGAAAAATATAAATTGTTTTAAATAAACAATCCAAACATCTATGTAAAACAAATTATAAATAGAGTGACCCATGGAATAAGGTGGAATAAATTTATATTTTTTGAGTACACCGTCAAAAGAAAACATTTTCTTTTTTTAAATATCAAATATGTACTTTTCTTCTTTACATTTTATCAATTATTTTAAATTTAAGTTGTTTAATTTTATCTTTTTTAAACTTTTATTGTTTTTCTATATTTTGATGAACTTATGTAATTTATTAAATATTAATAATAAACAAATAATATAGAAAATGTATAATAAAAACTTGAAATTAATAAATTTTATATTTTGATGTCATTTTAATTGTCATGATAAAAACTTTCTAATGATATATTTTATTAAATAAATATTTATTTTATTATAATTTAATAAATTACATAAATTAATTAAAATATGAAAAAATACAAAAAGGGGTAAATTGTATTTTTCCATTCGAGTCCTATCTCACCTGAACAACTATGTCCTAGTACCAAATGCATCTTCACTACACACACAATATATATATATATATATATATATATATATATATATATATATTATGGGTTCAAAATAGAACACCTTTATTTTATGAAAAGGAAAAAACATTCTTATCAAATGTGATAATACATGTGAAACAACATGGTGGTTTGTGGGCGACCAATACCCTAAAGGTCATACATGTTTCTAATTTAATATTACATGTGATGGACTAGAATTTCGTATATGATTGACTATGAGTAAAAGAGTGTTATCATTTTTTCCGTAAAATCATAATTTTATCCTAGCTCGTGGAGCGGCATACCGAAAAAAAGGACCCAAAGATTCCCAGAGTAAGAACCATCATATCATCATTTATTCGACAAATAGACTTGTTAAAGTAGTTCAACACATTTTTGTACGTCAAATAGATTGTGGAATCTTTCTATGAAAAGGTATAAAAAAAACAATAGGCTAGACGTAAATCAATGAAAATAAGAAGAGCCGATGATATAGAGAACCTCAAAGTGGCTCTATTTCATTATATTCCATCCATATCCCAATTCCATTCATAGAGGTTGTGTAATGCTTACTCTCAAACCTTTCATTTACACAATATATCACTTACAACATATATCACTATCAAGAGGTAATTCCATAGATGATCAATATGACAAAAGTGTTCTAGTTTGAACTCAGTTCTGTCTCTATATGTATGTATTTATGATTTATGATTTACATTTATGTTAAAAGTGCTTATGTTAATATAAACACCTTTTTTGTATTTCAATAATTGTCTATATACTAATAACAATGCGGTACTTAGTACTATCAGTAGATATTCATGACAAAATAAATCTTATATTACCCTTTTGGATCTGATTTGAGTACGCATGTAAGGTGGAAGTACTTTGGTTTAAGCTGAAGCATTGAACTCAAGATTATGTTTTTCGTTGGAAATTTAATTACTTTGTTTTTTCTTTTCTCTTGATTTTGCAGGAGCAACTTCCTTTCTATTCACTGAATACCAATATGTTGGTATTTTTATGGTCATTTTCGCTGGTCTCATCTTCGTATTCCTCGGCTCTGTCGAAGGATTCAGCACGAGTAGCCAAGTATGCACATACGACGCCACCAAGATGTGCAAGCCGGCTCTAATGACAGCAGTCTTCAGCACTGTGTCTTTCGTGCTTGGTGCCATCACATCGGTCATCTCCGGCTTTCTTGGAATGAAAATTGCTACATACGCTAATGCCAGAACTACCCTCGAGGCAAGGAAGGGTGTCGGGAAGGCCTTCATTGTCGCATTCCGATCTGGTGCAGTCATGGGGTTCCTTCTTGCTGCAAATGGTCTTCTTGTATTATATATTACCATCAACCTCTTCAAGATTTATTATGGTGATGATTGGGAAGGTCTTTTTGAGTCTATAACTGGTTATGGACTTGGTGGTTCTTCCATGGCTCTTTTTGGTAGAGTTGGTGGTGGTATCTATACAAAGGCTGCTGATGTTGGTGCTGATCTTGTTGGTAAGGTTGAGAGGAACATCCCTGAAGATGATCCCAGAAATCCCGCGGTAATTTTTTTTTCTGAATCCGGTTTTATGGGTCGGGGGACACTACTTTTTCATTCGTTTCTTATCCAAGAAATGGTAATTTGTGCAGGTTATTGCTGATAATGTTGGTGACAATGTTGGGGATATTGCTGGTATGGGGTCTGATCTTTTTGGCTCATATGCGGAATCCTCTTGTGCTGCTCTCGTTGTTGCTTCCATTTCCTCATTCGGGAGTACCCACGATTTCACTGCAATGATGTACCCTCTTATTGTGAGCTCTGTGGGCATCATTGTTTGCTTGATCACCACCTTGTTCGCCACCGATTTCTTTGAAGTCAAAACCGTTAAGCAAATTGAGCCTGCTTTGAAAAACCAACTCATCATTTCAACCGTGCTGATGACTATTGGTATCGCGCTTGTTAGTTGGGTTGCTCTTCCTTCTAGTTTCACAATCTTCAATTTTGGAACCCAGAAAGTGGTTAAAAACTGGTAAGCTCGACGTGTGTGCTTTTTCGAGAAAATGAGAAATTTTATTCGCGAAAGTTTACACTTTTGTAATGTGATGCAGGCAGTTGTTCTTGTGCGTTTGTGTTGGTTTGTGGGCTGGTCTTATTATTGGATTCATAACCGAGTACTACACTAGCAACGCTTACAGGTACGGTTTTGGACCCAAAATGAGAGTGTGTTTATTTGTTTGTTATCTACGAAAGAACTGATTCCGGCTAACTTGACTGTTTGTTTTAGCCCCGTGCAAGACGTTGCTGATTCTTGCCGTACTGGAGCTGCTACAAATGTTATATTTGGTCTTGCTTTGGGATACAAATCCGTTATCATCCCCATTTTTGCAATTGCAGTCAGCATTTTTGTTAGTTTTACCTTTGCTGCCATGTACGGTGTTGCTGTAGCGGCTCTTGGGATGCTGAGCACCATCGCCACCGGTTTGGCCATTGATGCATATGGTCCCATCAGTGACAATGCAGGAGGTATTGCTGAAATGGCGGGGATGAGCCACAGAATTCGTGAGAGGACCGATGCCCTTGATGCTGCTGGAAACACCACCGCTGCTATTGGCAAGGTACAATTCTTTTTGAACTATATAATATTTCTATACGGCAAAACTCGCATATCCTTTGACTGCCAAGGAGGTGGGCCAATGACCCTTCGGCTAGGTACTTTTGACCCTGATTTTAATGGCATTTTCTTTGTGCCAGGGTTTCGCCATTGGTTCAGCGGCGCTTGTATCTTTGGCTCTTTTTGGTGCGTTTGTGAGCAGGGCCGAGATTACAACCGTAGATGTTTTGACCCCAAAAGTTTTTATCGGTTTGCTCGTGGGCGCCATGCTTCCATACTGGTTCTCGGCCATGACAATGAAGAGCGTGGGAAAAGCAGCGCTTAAGATGGTTGAAGAAGTTCGTAGGCAATTCAACGAGATTCCCGGCCTCATGGAAGGCACTGCTAAGCCCGACTATGCCACCTGTGTGAAAATCTCCACCGATGCCTCCATTAAAGAGATGATCCCTCCTGGTGCTCTTGTTATGCTAACTCCCCTCATTGTTGGGATTTTCTTTGGTGTCGAAACGCTTTCTGGTGTTCTTGCAGGATCTCTCGTCTCTGGTGTACAGGTACTGCTAAAAGATTTCATCTTTTTTGTCGGGTTTGATTTAGTCTAAGCGATATAATTGGGGGAAAATGTGGAAAAGAAGTAGCTTTTCAATAAGCCGGCTAACTGAATGGGTCTTTTTCAATAAGTTCAAGAAATAAACTAGCTTCTATGGTTGCGAAAAATGGGCTTAAACAAGTTTCTAAGTTGTTTACATGATGCAGATTGCTATCTCCGCATCGAACACCGGTGGTGCTTGGGACAACGCCAAGAAATATATCGAGGTACAACAAACAACACCCTTTTTCACAACAAACTCTAAAGTGGGGTGGGATCGTTACTGATTTGTGTTGGTAAATGTAGGCTGGTGTTTCTGAGCATGCAAAGACACTTGGACCAAAAGGGTCAGACGCACACAAGGCGGCTGTGATCGGAGACACGGTCGGAGATCCTCTAAAGGACACTTCCGGGCCATCGCTAAACATCCTGATCAAGCTCATGGCTGTTGAATCACTAGTGTTTGCTCCATTCTTTGCGGCCCACGGAGGCCTTCTGTTCAAGTTATTCTAGATCCTGATTATCGAAATTCATCCCAAGTTGTATGATGTGTTTTGTTTGTTTTTTTTTAGTCGTTTAGCATCTGTCGGTGCTCGTGTCCGTTTTGTTGTCGGCGATTAGCAAATTTTCCATTGGTACGATAATGTCGATCTGATGAGTTCGAAGATGGTAATAGTAGTATTATTCTTTTTTTTTTCCCAGGAAGGTAAATGATGTATCAATTGTTGGTTCAAGATACTTGCTATATGAAATGAACAACACACTTGATCTGAATTTTGGTTTCTTGATTTGGAAAGTTTAAATCATCTTAAACGTTTCATCTCCATTAGGGTGTATATTGTAAGGTACAACACCCATTTTGTGGCTTTCGCAAAGGTCTGAAAATGGCCGTCTTACTTTAAATTACGGGTATGAATCAGTTAGGACCGGTTATTAACGTTGTATTCTTGAATTTCAGTAGAAAATTAATGGAGTATGAGAGAGGACAAAATATGTCATTTATATAAATATACCCTTCTGCAATGTAATTTGGACAAAATATGTCATTTTTTATGATAGATTTTGTTTGAAAAATATTTATTTTGTTAATAATTTAATCAAAATATATAAAAAATCTAAAGAACTCATTATATGGGTAAATTAATTATTTTATCTGTTATGTATTGTATAATTCTGTCTTACTAAATATTAAACAACTATATTGTTCTGCTTTATTCTGTCATCTATATCTGCTTACCAAACACATTCATAAAACCAAATTTGTTTATATATGATAATTAAGTAAATAAAATAGTTAAGAAATATAGACTAAAAAATATCACGATTTTTAAATTAATATTAATTACATGGTTTTTATCGAAAGAAACCCCAATTTGTTTTAGGTTATTTTATTATTTTTAGTGGGTAGTTAATTTAATTAAATAAAAAATAAAATAAGAAATGAAAAAACAGGAATATTGTGTTTTTCTTCTTCTGAAGAACCCACGGGTATCCATAATCCATTTTCTTTCTCAGTTTCAGCCATGGCTACCAAGGATTCACTTCCTGTGAAAACTGCACAGCAGATGGCCATCGATGGAGATCAACCACCTTCCAAATACATCTTCAATAACAACACCATTTACGCCAATTTTGGCCCTTTGGAAACCTCTCCTCCATTTGCTCCGGTGCCGATCATTGATGTCACCCGTTTATCATCAACTTCCGATCAAAATGATCGGAAAACTGAACTAGCTAAACTCCGATCAGCACTCACCACCTGGGGTTGTTTTCAGGTCCATTTTCTTTTTTCATTTTCAAAAAGAACTTGATTTCTGCTACTTTGTAATCATCACCTTGAAAAATACGATCTTTAAGGGTGGTCAAAAATCCAACTGGGATTGTTGTTACAGTTCTTGATTTCCTTCAATTTCTTGAAATTCAAGACTTCTTGATCATATTTGGTACTCAAATTCAATAACCTTTTATGTTATATATATATATATATATATATCAGGCGGTGAATCATGGGCTTGCAGATTCGTATCTAGACAACATCCGACAAGTGATCAACCAATTCTTCCAACTTCCATTGGAGAAGAAAAGAAAATGCTTGAGAGAAACTGGTTCCGTCGAAGGCTACGGAAACGACATGACATACGACGAGAATCAAGTTCAAGATTGGTGTGATCGTCTTTTTCTTCGAATTCTTCCCGAAGATGAACGGCAACTTCGTTTCTGGCCTGAAAACCCATCGAAATTTCGGTACCATTTTTGTGCATAGATAACTTGTACTCCTCAATCTGTTTGAAGCATCAATGGGTTGTACATTATGCAGGGAAACCATAGATGACTACACCAACAAGATCAAGTCTTTATCTGTGATCTTATTCGAGGCAATGGCGAAATCGCTTGATTTGGAAGAGAATTGTTTCGCAAAGTATTTTACGGAAGAACGGGATGTTTTGCAAGGCCGGTTTATCTTGTACCCACCATGTCCGACCCCGGATAAAGTGTTAGGTCTCAAAGCTCATTCGGATAGATCGGGCATTACTCTTTTATTGCAAGATCCGGGGGTCGAAGGGCTTCAAGTATTGAACGATGGTAAATGGTACAACATTCCGGTGATCCGTGATGCTCTTTTTGTTAATCTTGGCGATCAAATGCAGGTAAAACCATAAAAGATTAATCCCGACAATATTTCAATTTGTGTTAAGATATGTGGAACCTTTTTGAATTTTCCTTCTACAAGAGCCTTAACAGAGCGAGTGGAGATTTCTAGATATCTACAGGTTTCATGATCTGTGTTTAGTTGATACGGGGGTCGGACAGTTTGGAACTACTTTAACAATTTATTCAGTACAACAAAGTGTTCAAGTGCTTAAATCCTTTGTACGTTTGATTTTTCAGATAATGAGTAACGGGATTTTCAAGAGCCCGGTTCATAGGGTTGTGACGAATACGAAGAAAGGGAGGATATCAGTGGCCATGTTTACGGAACCCGAACCGAACAAGGAGATTGGCCCTGTGGATGCGTTGGTTGATGAGAAGAGGCCGAGGGTCTACAAGACCGTCAAGAATTATGCCGTTTTTAACCACGAATGCTTTCAAAAAGGCGTTGTTGCTCTTGATGCCGTTAAAATCTAACATGTTTGTTGTAATCGATCGAGTTTAAAGATGTATTTAGAACTTCTAAAGCTCAGGCCCGTTCCTGACATTTTATAAGCCTTGGACGAACGTAAAAACATGGTCCACTGCAAGAAATAAGGTTTTTAGCAACGACTTTTGTTGTTGCTAAAAGTACATTTATGATCAGAAAGAGTATATAACAACAACATGTCGTCGCTATAACTTGTGACGGAAACATGTCTCGCTAAAAGGCGCACCGTCAAAGCTCATTTTTCTTGTAGTGACCCTCGGTAAGTACGAAAAGAAATTCAATAAATGTTTTTCATTAGTATAAAATTAAGTACAGGAAATGCTAATAATTTACTGTGGAAATAAATCTTATTTATCTTTATTATAGATATATAAGAGTACTTAAAATTTACGTACTTCTTATTAGGTAATTTGAATCCAAAAGTACATAAACTACGGTTGATAAACTTTTATAAAAAATAAGAACTCTTTTTAGTTCATAACAAGAAATATGTGTTATTTTGATATAAATAGAGAATTCGTGTAAATGAAGTAATCATGAGGGTCAGTGAGAGATCAATAATAAAAAAGATTATCAAAGTTTTCTAGACAAGTATACAAATGAGAATCCATAAGAATATAAAAGAAACGATGATCCAATAAGAATAAATAATGAATTAAACATATAATATTCTAGCTCACAAATGATTGTTTGAGCACTTAAATATAATATTGTGGTGTAGTGGAATCCCAATAAAGATACATAAGTCAAATAATTGATGAAAATATGTAAATTATATTTTTCTTTTTTATTTGCTCAACTAAAATAAGATGTTAAGATTAAAAGTTTATGGAACATGACATATATAAAATACATTACTAAATACATCTAGGAGAAAAAAATTATTGATCAATCAGAAAACCATAAAACACGTCATAAATTATAAGAACAATAGATTGATTGCCAAACAATAGTAAAATATTTTATGTAGAAGCAAAAATAGATTAAAATAGTCAACAAAAACAATTAAAACAACATAATCAAGTAGCAATAGTCAATAGAAGCAGAAATTGATAAAATTACTAACAAAAATATATAGCAATAGTAAGCACATAATCTTAACGTTGAATTGTTGAAGCACGAAAATAGTCAAACATATAGAGATAACAATAATCAATATCATTGGACCTTGTTGGAGATAAAAAAAATTAGAAGGACAATATACAATAGCATATAATCAATGACCAATTAATTTTTCTTTATTTTCCTCTCAAATGTAATTAGTTGATATATTTTTGGGCTCTTATTATCTACTAAATTCTTTTTGCCTCTTATTATATGCTACAATTTTTTGGATTTCTTAAATTTCTTAAATTCTTTTTTTTTTTGTATTTTAAGAGAAAAATTTGAACCCCTGATATTTTCGGGCCCTAGGCGTACCCATGCCGCCCTCCTAGGGACGGCCCTGTAAATGCTAAATAAGCCTTTCTTTTGGGTTTAAAACAATGGTTTTAGTATGTCATTTGTTTCTTGTGGTTTATGGGCTGTTTACCCAAATGTTTACTCGGTAAATGTTTATCTATAGGAGTCAACACTATAATTTACCTTGATGCTTAAGATTTTTATGCATCAAAACGTATTGAATGCAACAATTTACCGGGTAAGCACTTACCTGGGTAAGAGTCGTAATCTTCACTTACCGGGTAAGACTCTACATCATTCTCAGCTCTTACACGGTAAGATTTTTGGCCTTTGTCATGTTCATTCGATGAGAAAATTTATCCGGTAAACACTTATCAAACAAGCGTTTAGTAAACGACCTCATAGATTAAAATGGTAATTTGACTAAAATGTCAAAACCTCTTTTCAAGAAGCATGAATTTTATTTATAGAAATTCATCTTCTCACTTCTTTTATAGAGGATGAACACATTTGTGTGTGTTATTTCTAACTAGTACGGTATCTAAAACAATATAGATTACAGACAGTTAAAAGATGTATAAAAAGTCTGAAACCCGAACCAAGAAGCTTGAATCTAGTAAGCCCAAAACCTCGGCCCATACCTCAACTAAAAACCCGATTGGACCAAAAAACCTTCGAAATTAAGCCCGGGTTTTTGGAAAAGCCTGAAAAGTCCGATGAGGTTATTTTCACACCTTTTTTTACGTGTTGAAAACAATCTTGTACCCCTTTTATAGGCATGATTTTTTTTTTCACCTTTCATTACTCCAACGATTTGAGATAATCTTTCAAATTTATCTTTTTTTTTCAGTCAAAGAATTCTCAACAATTACAAATGTAAAATAAACATATATTAATAAACGTTATTTCATAAAAAATATTTCTATACATTTTAATGCAATATATGTAAGAGGTTGTTTACCGATACAAACTAGGCAAACAAGTTTTGGGTGAAAGTCGTCACGTTTACTTGTAATGTAAGGTAAGATTATTGGTCATCAAAATAATATGGTATAAGTTTCTGTTCTGATCTTTATCATTCTAATCGGGTAAAAGTCAGCACTCGCAATTATCTGTAATGTTCTTAGTTAGCGAAATGATATAATATGTGTTTAGTTACCAAACAATTACCAGATAAGATTCTTGGTAAAAGACAATAAATGTGTAGTTACCTGGGTTGGGTTCATGTGAGACCATATTGTTTTCCTGAGACTTACGAGACCAGTTTTTTACATTTGAAACTTCACAGCAAAACATTGTGAAAAAAGAAATCTGAACCTTTCACAGTAAAAACATTGTGATAGTTATCTTTGCAATGTTTTATTGTGGATTTTCAAGTGTAAAAGAGTGGTCCCACGGGTCTAAAGAAAACATTCTGTTTTCACGTGATCCAAGTCTTAAGGGTTGTTTGATTTCATATCAATTTAGTTCTAAATCTATTAAGTTGTCTGTAAGCATTAATCTGTTTAGATAAACTAAGATAAATTATTGTTTGATTTTTGTCCTGAATAACTAATCCAAATAATAAAAATAACCATTTTAACCTTATATCTAAATAAATATTGAATGAAAATGTAATAAATATTTTACATGACAAAAAATTAAATATTATGATTTATTTAACAACAAAAATAATATGAATTAATTAAAATAACAAAAAAATAATATAAATTTTAACGAGTTCATAACACAGTATTTAATAACTTAAAATATATTTAAAATAATAAAGTATTCTTGTTTTATTACATTTTTTGATTTAGGCATATTGGTAAATTATTTTAAAGAGATGTTGATCAAAAATTGTAGGACAAGGGTAGTTTTGGAAAAAAAATTAACTTAATGCAATCTATATCTATATATAAAGCAGAAACTTGGCCTGCTGACGTGTCATCATCTCATACCAAGATTCCTCACTTCCTTTTTTTTCCTCCTTTTTTCCTTTTTTTTCCTTTTTTTAACCATTCCAACCTTAAACCTTCAGCCTTCCAACCTTAAACCTTCAGTTACGTTTTCCCTTCTTTCTTCTCCATTGATAATCGCCGTCGCACCTCCACAGCCTTCTGTCCTTGCCGCACCTCCATCGCCTGCTAATGCTAACAGTCCGACATGACTGGTTTCGGGTCGCCGCCGAACACGTTGACTGAACCCGTGTGGGATACGATGAAACGAGATCTTTCGAGGATTGTTAGTAATTTGAAGTTAGTTGTTTTTCCGAATCCATTTCGTGAGGATCCGGGAAAGCTTTGCGATATTGGGATCTTTGGGGGCCGTTTTTCTTCATTGTGTTTCTAGGGCTCGTTCTATCTTGGTCCGCCTTGGTAAAGAAGGTGTGTTCTCTTTCTATTGTATCATGTTGTTTCATTTTAAATTTTAGGGCAGTGTACTAAATGATAGTGAGTTGAATATAATAATCCCTCTGTTTTATGTAAATCTCATTCAAAGTATTGATAGTGAGTTGAATGTAATAATCCCTCTGTTTTATGTAATCTCATTCAATATGTTTGTGTGTATGTATATGCTATTCTTGGTTTAGAGTGAATTCTTGCTTAAAAACTTGAAATAGGTTGTGAAAATTATGCATCTCTACATATTTCTTCCTTCTCTTAATGGTGGCCTTGAAATTTGATTATTTTCTTCTATCAACAGGAAAAGGGTGTTGATATGTTATGCAAATTTTATTATCTTTTTCATGGATGCAAATCTCAAGGACCTTCATGATCACATGGAATCTATTCTTTCCAAATCATTAAGTTTGAATGAAAAAGATGTGACAAGGGTGTTAAGATCCCTAAGTTTTGATGATCATCGTGGTTCTTGCAAGCTTGCAAAGATGAGATCATTTGGTTCAAGTAGGATGATTGGAGGGTCTCTAAGCTTGCAAAGATTAGATCAAATGTTCTTCTAATGAAGAATACTACACACCTGCAGCAAGTCCTGAAGCAAAGAGGATTGTATCACCAAAGCCACTCATGAACCCTGATATGGCTGCAGTCAAGCTGCAGAAAAAATATAAAAGTTTCAGAACCAGAAGACAGCTAGCTAATTGTGCAGTCTTGGTGGAGAAAAGATGGTTAGTATTCTTTGATTTGTTAATGGTAGTTTGCATGGATTCTTTTCACTGTTTATGCATAGAGGATGAACCAAATGGACCCGACGAAAATGGTTGAAAGAATTGTGTAATGTTGTAGGGTATTAGTTTGAGACGGGTAGTTTTAGTAATTTACCAATCTTACGGCATCTTCCACCTATTTTGATGCAACATGAAAAAAATGCATTTTACCTAACTTCCTGTCCCAATTTAATGTTATGCCAAAAGTGCGAACCAATCGTAGTGTTTTTATGATACATTTTTCTAAGCAACTATCCACCACATTTTACGCAGTTGGAAGCTTTTAGATTTTGTTGTGCTGAAATGCAGCTTCGTGTCATTCTTTGAAGTGGAGAAACCAGAAACCGCTGTTTCACGTTGGTCGCCTTTCTTACGTTAAACTCTTTCCTTCTTCCTCCTTTAATTTATCTACTTTGCCTTCTCCACACCTTTGGTGTATCAACTACTAAGRGTTCCCAAACTTGTGATCACCAAGTAAGAGAGTGAATATGATTTATCTACAAATTACACTTCCATGCTGAAATCGTGTTTTCAGGGCCTGTTTTGGCCTCTTTCCTTCTTTCTCCTTCAATTTGTC